TTAAAAAATAAGGAACTTGGAGACTCATCTTTTCCAGCTAATCTATGACTAAGTTGCCATGGTTTTAACTACATCGTTCTACGCTTCCAGATTGTAATTATTATTAGAATAAAGCCTTTTGGGGCAGTCTGATCTTTTCTGTACAGCATCTTGTATTCAGTCACTCAATAAAGAATATTGTTATAGTCAACACTCAGACAAAGCTGTTCAGCCAAGTGATTATTTGTATCTCAAAAATGCCAGCTTTCTGCTCCTGTGTCCCCGTTCTAACTCATGTGAAGTCTTTCTTCAAACAACCCTCACAAGAATCTTATGAGGCCCATTAAGCTGACGGAGGGATCTTGCAACCCAGTGAGTTTCATGGTAAATTGGGGATTTGAATCCACTTCTCAGCATTCATGAGTGTTGCTCTTGATAGTTGGGGTAATATAGATTTAAATTCACAAAGTATGAAGCTAGGGGGTGGGGTGTAAGAAGAGGCTCAATGTCGCAGAATTAGGGCTGGATTGAGCCTCAGTCCTCTGGTAAACCTCTGGTACACCTATAATACTTTAAATTTCTATAGCAATTAGCCTCTATAGTTGAATCTGTGGTTCTGTTTCCCAGGAGGCTTCAGGACTCTGCTAAGTGCTGTGGCCTTCGGATACAGATAACTCTGTACATGCCTTTTGCCTTACATGCCTTTTGAAATGTTTATACATTATCAAATTCTGAATAGATAGAATAACTGAAGCTAGCTTCCCAGGACTCTCTTAGTCAGCCTTGACTCTCTGAGTCAACCTAACTTAACCCAGTTTTCCTTGACTTTCCTGACCCCAAAGAGAGAAAGAATGGGCTGAGCTTTGCCACGTACATCACAGATGTATGTCAAATGCTTGTCAGACTTGACTGTTACATTAGCTTCCATGGGGGGGTGGAAGAGTAAATGTCTGGATTTAATTTTGTTCCTTGTTGATCTGACCAACCACCCTTCCATTATGGGTCGTGATATAGCAACCAAGGATATGCTTTACAGAATTACAAGTGCACTGTTTATGTATTGGGGTTGTGTTGAAATATTCTATATTGAGTATTGAAATGCTACAGAAGTGTGTTCTGACTTAAGAGTAATGGAATAAATTGAGTTTTGGTTTAGAATGACTGTCTCCCTCCCAAAATGAACACAGTGGGAGTGGGAATGCATGAAAAGGTTCCTGCACCCCTCATTTTCCCAACACTCAATGGAACAGCCTGTAGATCTCTTCATGTCAGAATAGGATTCAAACTCGCATTCTGCCACCTTTCTCTGGGTGACTGTGGGCCAGTAGCAATCTCTTATCCTAACCTACCTCAGGTGGTTGTGATGCAAAAATGGAGAAATAACTGTGTGAACAGCCCTGATCTCCATGGAGGATTTGTGAGATAAAAGTGTTATAGGTAAATAAACAGTCCCAGCAACCTCTAGAACTCCTCACCCATTACAGGTGTTAATTAACATCAACTACTGAATGGCCTCCATTTTTCTTGATTATCTATTTATGTATGTCCTATATTACATGGTGCCTTGACCCTTGATTCCTGCAGGTAGACAGATTTGCACAGAGGTTGAAGTTGTTTGTCCAACTATTTTGGTGAAAGGTGTGGTACTCCCTCCCCCCTATAATTTTCATTTAAGTTCCTTTTTCTTTGGCCCTCCTCCAAGGGACTCGGGATGGCATATATTTTTCACCCCTTTCCCCCATTATATTCTTACAGCAATTCCTGAGCCAGTGTGACTGGCCCAAGATCACCTAGTGTGCATATCTGAACCCGGATCTCCCAAGTTTTCCGCAGGCTTGTCCACTGTCTGGAGAGCGTGGGGGGAGGGAATGTCCTCTCCCTTTAACAGGCATTTAATGGAATGACATTTACCAAGGGATGTTATTGACCCCACCCGTGCTGTGAGCACATTGTGCATTAGGTGTCCTCAAATTACTTCCAACCATGGTGACCCTATGAATTAATGACCTCCAAAATGTCCCATCACTAACAGCCTTGCTCAGGTCTTGCAAACTGAAGGTCATGCTTCCTTGATTGAGTCAATCCATCTCATGTTGGGTCTTCCTGTTTTCCTGCTGCCTTCCACTCTTCCCGGCATTGTTGCCTTTTCCAGTGCCTTTTGTTTTCTCATAATGTGACCGAAGTACGATAGCAACTGTGAAATAAGGGGTTCTTAATTTAACAGTCACACTGAGCCAGTGAAAAATTTCTAAAACAACTTTATTGTGCCACAGCCAAAGAATCCATCCCAATTACAAAAGTAACAAAAACAACATTCTCCTAACTCCTTCTCCATGATGTCTTACCTTTATACTGCAGCTTGTCATCTTTCATTCCACCAGTTACACAGTTCAGCAAATCAATATAGCCAATCATCTCCAGAAGTTTGCTACTGTAGTTAGTACTATACTGCACATGTCTAAGAATATTTTCCCACATTCTTGGGGTCTTCTAACTACAGATAAGAAGCTGTGCCCAGCCAGCTGAAACTGCTTCTGAAGTTTCCAGCTATTCTGCCAAATCCTAGGGTACAAGATTTTATTCGTAAGCAAGCAGGGCAAGCAGCATTATAAGTCATGCTTCCTTGATTGAGTCAATCCATCTCATGTTGGGTCTTCCTGTTTTCCTGCTGCCTTCCACTCTTCCCGGCATTGTTGCCTTTTCCAGTGCCTTTTGTTTTCTCATAATGTGACCGAAGTACGATAGCAACTGTGAAATAAGGGGTTCTTAATTTAACAGTCACACTGAGCCAGTGAAAAATTTCTAAAACAACTTTATTGTGCCACAGCCAAAGAATCTGTCCTAATTACAAAAGTAACAAAAACAACATTCTCCTAACTCCTTCTCCATGATGTCTTACCTTTATACTGCAGCTTGTCATCTTTCATTCCACCAGTTACACAGTACAGCAAATCAATATAGCCAATCATCTCCAGTATGTCTTACCTTTATACTCCAGCTTCTCATCTTTGCATCTTTCATTCCACCAGTTACACAGTTCAGCAAATCAATATAGCCAATCATCTCCAGAAGTTTGCGACTGTAGTTAGTACTCTACTGCACATGTCTAAGAATATTTTCCCACATTCTTGGGGTCTTCTAACCACAGATAAGAAGCTGTGCCCAGCCAGCTGAAACTGCTTCTGAAGTTTCCAGCTATTCTGCCAAATCCTAGGGTACAAGATTTTATTCGTAAGCAAGCAGGGCAAGCAGCATTATAAAATGGTGTTGGCCATGTTAAGGATAATTTTTTCTTCTTCATTAGCTTCAGCTTTGTCATTTATTTATTATTTATTTCATTCAGCTTATATACCGCTCCTTCCCGAAGGCTCGGAGCGGTTTACAGATAAGTATTTACCGTTTCTAACTAAGGCCACACAGTACAGGGGAGAAATGAATGCCTACCAGGCACCAGAGCATGGTGTTTTCATGGTGGGTTCTTCCTCAAGTCGATGGTGTCTCGGCGGGATCTTCCAGTAGCGACTCCTTCAGGGCGGACCTTCGTGGTGCGCGGCTCTACAATGGTCGCAGCACTGTTCTCTGTTCTTATTGGCTCCGGCCGTGCTAAGTTGCCATGTCTTCTCTCTGCCTGGGTCGCCTGTTGCCACCGCACAGCCACCACTGTTGCTACACGCCATCCATGGAAGGAGGGTGCTCCCCACTCTTCTAAGAGCACGTACCCATTTGTCTACTTGCCCTAGGGCTTTCGAGCCACTGGGTGGGCGGAAGCTGGGATGAGGGCCGGGAGCTCACCCCAACCGCGGGGACTCGAACAGCCTTATGGCTCTTCAGAGATAACTTACTGCAGGTTCTTTTACAGTCTGCGCCACCGCTCCCATTATTTTAGCTTCTACAGAGAGTTCAGGCTTGATTTGACCTGGAACCCACATCGTTCTTCGGGTCCACAGTATTTGTAAAACTCTCTTACAACTCATTTACTTCCCCCATAACAATTTTTACTGTATTGCAACAACAACTACAAAAACATAACAGTTCGTGGGTATGTTATAAAGACTAGTTAGCATTACAACTTGTTAACTTTACCGATTTATCACATTTCCCCCCATCAAATACTAAAGACTCTACCTCCAAAATATAATTAACAGAACTACTACGTACAACAGAAACAAGTCCTCTCACCCTAACTGGAAGTTCTGTAACTTCGTTTGGTATTTCTTCTTGTTGGAACCAAATACTCTAAATGACTCCACACATTTACGAGCATATTACACTCCTATCAAAATGACGTTCTTCCCCAGGCCCTGTTGGCCATTCTACTCTTAACGTCAACAACTCTGGCTTGGGCGGACGACCGAGCCTTGGCAGCGAAGCCTCCACACGGAGCCACCTTTGCCTCAGCCCGTCACAGGCACACCCCAGCAGAGTAACCGCTCTCTCTCTCCAGGCTTCCCTCCGCCGCCCCCCAGGGCTTCCCTGCCCCGGCCTTGAACGACGCCTCCCTCAGCCTGACTGAACAGCTCCTCCTGGCTTAGCGCCCCTTTCCTTCCTTCCCTCAGCGGCGGCAACAGCTCCTCTCCGTCTGCTGATTGGGCCGCCGAGGGAACGCGCGTGACCGGGAACCCCGAGCCTATTGGTCCGTCTCGGCCACGTGCCCGCTCCTCGGGTTCGGTCAAGGGGGGAGAGAGAGGAGGAAATCCAGGCGGGCCGACGGTGTTTCCTAGGCGACAACGAGAAAGCAACGAAGTGCTGTCACGTGGAGCAGGGCGGGGGGGGGAGGAGGAAGAGGAGGAAAGAGGCCGAGCGTGCGTGTCATTCAAGCCCCTCCGGCGCCGGCGATTGGCGGGCGCCGTCCCGTCCCGCGCACGGGACGGAGGGCCG